GGCAAAGCCTGGCCGGCCCCCGTGGGGGCTGAGGCCCGGCCACCAGGCGCTCGCATTCGAGCCCCAACCCCGGGCCTGGCTCTAGGGTGGGGCCCCGGCTGCGCCATGCCGGGCGACGTCACAGCCCTTGATTTTAATCTATTCATAAAGGGCTTTTGAACCACTCTTAGTCTGACCCGTCATCCAGGACCTGTTTGCCTTGGGAGACCCTACCAGGAACATATAGCCCCCGACAACATAGCTCCTAGGATCTCTCGGGTACTCAAACCCCTCCACCACAATAAGGTCGCGGTTCAAGGAGGGGTCTCTTTGTCATTTCCTTTTTTAATTTTATTAAATTTTTTGCTGTGCTTCTGTGACTCACAACAATTGGCTTTTTTTTACTGCTACTATAGATTACAGTAAACCACAGGAAGCTACAATAAAGGGCTGTAGCAGTGGTAACTCTTTCAAGATGGAATAGGTCAAAGCTTACTTATATTTTACAACCACTAGCTGACATGAATGTTGGACTCTTGTTTGAGGGTCAGCCACTTCCCTGGACTGAGTGAAGTAAGTAAGTGAAACAAGATATTGGTATTGATCAAGTCTTTTATATATAGATATACTGTATTGTCACTGAGTTTGCATTAGTGCCTTTACATTCCAAGTATTCTCTTCTGAAATCCTTCACTAAAATATGGAAATATCACGCATGTATTTTCCTAACAGCAGCTACAAAATGGGCACAAAGTTTAATGGTAACAGTGTTAAGGTCTGAGGTCACTCACCTCAGTGTCTTATTATGACAGCTTTAACTGGAGTATGGAACTATTCACATACTTTCCCCTTAAAAACAGAGCCTTGCTATGGCTCTGGAAGTTTAATGTTAACAACATTAAGGTCCCGGGTTGACCACCACAAGAGTGTGACAGCCTCCAGTGGATTATGGAAATATGCACATTTATTTCCCTCCAATTCATCCCCTCAACTGAGACCAGCTGTTTAAAAGTAATAATATTAAAGTCTTAATTTGCCTTTGGAAGTGTTTTTGTATGTCACAGGGGCATAAGAAAATGTTACGTGCATAGTTTCCTTAAATACAACTCTTTGAAGAGTCGAACCGCCTAATTTTAGCTCTCTGGATTTATGTTGTAAGTTTAGCACCATCAGCCCCACTTAAGCCTAAGTAGAGAGGTCAAATAGATTTCAGTTGCTAATTCATTTTCCCTTCTTGACAACATCAGCCACACAGCCCTCTATAAAAGCCAGACAGGTCAAGTGAAGTTAAGCTGATCATGGTGGTGTTTTGTTATGAAGGGTGAGAGGTTCTTGAAAACACGATACACATACAGATGCTGCATGAGCATGATGCCCGTTCTATGTTCGATAGTTGGCTCCTTACTGCAGCAGCGCCAAAAGATTTTCAACAAGCAAGGCAGGTCAAGTGTTGGTCTGTTTGTCTTCTGAAGCTTCTTCTCTTTTTACTGAACCAGTCACTGCAACACACACTCTGAGATGTTTAAGGCAATATTTCCACCACACTCTAATTTTGACAGAAAGGTGACGTACAGTATAGTGACAACTGGCAGGGTTACATGGTAAACCTGTTACTAAGATCATAGTGGTAAGTAGTCACATTAGCTTTACAAGGCTCTACAGTTTAGCCAAGATTGTCACTTGCATAAGTTTATCTTACAGACTGATGGGACAATAATTTTAAAAGATGCATTGTAACCATCAGCTCCTGCCTCATACTATTCTTCTGTGGAGTAGTTAATGTTAAACAACAGAAGACACTACTGACAGTGGCTAATATCACTTCTTTTGTTCACTTCAAAACATAAAAACACTTCCACATCTGATCTCTTCACAATAAGAGCTCGCTTCCACGTCCTACATTATAACATGTAACGTAGGTTCAATGGAAGAAGAAGCTGGAGACAGAAGTTGCCTTTTTGTGTGCTCCCTGGAGCTGTGTTTATTATAAAAACGCACACGCTGGCAACCGCACTCAACACAAAACACAGACTGAACACATTCCCCACCAACGCCAAACTATACACTGTCCGCCCAAAGGGGCATTATGGGGGATCCTGCCAAGTGTTTTTCTGCCCCCCAATGCTAAAATATAGACCCTTATGCAATGTTTGGCCAACTGAATATAATGCAAACAGTCTGGAGATATTATAAGTATACACATGCAAGAATGTTTATTAGTAGAACTTCTGAAGTTCAGTTCTGTCAAGACAGCCTGCAATCGGCCAGCAAAACCAGAGCATTAAAACAATGGATGGATATGTCACTGATAAACAGAGAACCTCAAAATCCTCAGCTTTTTTTAAAGGGGCTCTTGGTTGGAAATGTACAAGTTCCAACAGATTTGTGTAAAGAGAGAAACCCAATTTGTGAAGACAGATGCAGTTTTAAAGCCAGCATAATTATTTTCATAGAATAAGACAAATACTATGCCCTTTTTTCTCAAGCACAAGTTTTGTGAAACTGGACCTGCAGCTTTTCTTATACATGCATGTGTGGCACTGGCACACACTTTCTTTTTTAGAATGACATGACTGAAATTGATAAGTACAACTCTGTGGTGACATTGATGCCAGTCAGTGGTTTTACATTGAATTTTTGCTGAAGTTGACACAGGGTGGAGAAGCAACACAGCAATCCATATTGTCATTTAAAGTAAATTTTGCTGTTCATGGTGTAAACTGAGTTCTTCAAAGTGACATTTGTTCGCTGATTTCATTCAAGAAGATCCAGTCATTCCTTTTTTCATGTGGGAGGGGTCAACTAAGGTGTAATGGTACCTTGATTGGGTGGTCCCCATGGCGTGACCAATCCATTTCGGACAGACAGCAGCCATATCCAGTCAGTATCAGGCAAGCAGGTGGCTTAACCAATTAGAATCAAGTATTCAGAGCCCAGTGCAGTCAGAGGTCAGAGGACATCTTTTTAACTTGTCTACTTATTTTTTATAATCTTTTTCTTGTTTTTTCATTATCACAATTATTGTCTTTTGTAAAATATATATTTCTTTTCTCTTTTACTCTGCCCTCAGAGACTTCCCCGTGAAGAACTGTATATGCCGCCAATCATCATCAAAGTCATTGATAACCGTCAGTTTGGAAGGAAGCCGGTGGTTGGTCAGTGTACCATCCGGTCCCTCGAGGAGTATCGGTGCAACCCAGAGGATGATCACGCAGCGGCGGCCAAGGAGGAGGAAGGATGGCGCCGTAAGACATGGAGAGATGGATGCAAACATTATAGCAAAGAGGTGGACTGACAACTAATGTTAAAACGACCTTTCTCCTGTGTGTTGTGTTGCAGGTGAGATGCCTCACTTAATGTCTGAGGAGGTTTTTATTGACATTGGTGATGAGGAGCCACTAGTTACTGATCAGGTAAAACTATTGTGTTGGTTATTAAAGGTGCTTCATGGGAATAATACTGTACGGTTTCTGAGTACTGACACAAAACTAAGCAGATGACTGAAAAGGCCAAAACCAGGTGCAATATGTCCATCTAATGCTCAACAGACCTCAGTACTTAAACCCAAGTCCATTGGTTCCTTCTTTTTTTAACACTCTCAGAAGTAATTGTTGTTATGTGTATTGCGAGAAGCTAGCAGAGTAGTGCGAAAGGGGCGCATGGTGGTTTTTCATGGGTGTCAGGCTAGCTGTTATCTTGTGTTCCAGTCTGTGTGCTAAGCTAAAGTAGTGGTCTTATCTAACTTATATAAGAAAGAAAAAAGCCATTTCTGAAAATATGAAAGTATTTGTTTTAAAGAAAATAAATAAAATAAAACAAAACATCTCCAGTGGATGATATTCATTCTGAACCGTATTTAAAACCAGTGGCTACTTGGTAAGAAATTCAATAGTATGCACTGAAAATGTTCCTCAGTAATGTTAAAGTGTACACAGGGTTTGAAGTTTATGGGCTACAACGTGGAAAACCACTAGATTGGCCCATGTGAGGATATTGAATTAACATTTTGTGGAGAACCTCAGATTTTTGGGGATAAAATTCCAGGCTTGTGATTCATGTCAGCCTCCTCTGTGCAAATAAAATGATCCAAGACTTCTGTTCTGGATTCCTGCAGTGTCTCTTTGACCTTCTTCTTCTTTTGTTCTTCTCAATTTATCCCATCATTTGTCTTAACCATCAGTCCTCCTCTCCTCCTGTTCTTGTTCTTCTCTATGTAGTATTCCTCTCTTACCTCCTCATTTCCTCTTTTTCAGCCACTCCTTTCTGTTTCTCATTTC